TTTTTNTTTTTTTTGTAACTTTTTTTTCTTGTCAGCAATTTTACTTTGTTTTACATCATTTTTCAGCTATTCGACTAAATGCTTTAATTTATGCCATATCACCACTTACTTTTGCGCTAATGTTAATATGGGTGATTCGTGTACTATTTGCTTGTTATGTGTATTTTAACGATCGAAAGAAAGCTGAATTAAATTTTCCCATAGTTACTATTCAGGTAAGTTATAGATGAAAAAAAATAACACCGATCCACAGTTTAAATTCAATCTATTATAGTTTAAATTTTTACAGCTTAAATTCAATCGATCTATAATTTAAATTCAATTTATTACAGTTTAAATTCAATCTGTGAATAACAATAAATTCATCTCTGCAAGAAATACTCTAAAATATGGCAAGTACCTGACAAAAAAAAAAAAAAAAAAGTTCCATTTTCTCTGTCTACCTCATATGAATTATCTATAAATTCGTTTAATTGATTTCTTACATTTGCAATTCTTACTTGTTACATATTTTGTTATATGAGATACTAGCCTGAAATTAAATATACAAATTGCAATATGGAGAAGAAGATAGCATAAATAGAGGCATGGGGAATGAAAGACCTTTCTTTTCAAATTAAAAACATTTAAATATAAGTGAATTCTAAGTTACTTTTTTTTTTGCAGAATAGTGGTCCCGTCACGGGTGTTACGATAACCTCATCAACCGATCCAAGCAATGTACCAACAACAACAACAACTATGGCATGTATGCCAACCAATTCGATATCATCAACCACATTCTTAAATCCTAATTTTACTCTTCAGGATGAAAATGGAGATGCAGAGAAACAACAATGATCACGGAAGATATTGATAGCATATTAAGGATTGAAACATAGCACCTTGTGAAACTAAACTAAGAGTCAATTAAAAATTTTAAAAAAAAAATTTGAAATTGGAGAGAAAAAAAGGATTTTAACGAGCACCACTTCTAAGATATCGACAATTAATCGATCCAAAAAAAAAAATCCAAATGGTATTCTTTTTTTTTTTCCTTATCGCTTTTATTATCCAAAAAATTTGTTCTCAAAAAAAACCATGAAAAAAGGCAATAATCATTCCATAAATATTATGAAAACATTTTCTTCAAAAAAAAAGGAAAAAGGAAAAAGCAACATACCACTTATTCCCAAAAGCTTTGTCATTATTCCTTCCCTTCCTTCGAAGTGATCCATTTTATGACCAATTAGTTACCATTTTGCTTGAAACTACATCAAAGAATTCTCAAAAAAAAAAAGGAAACTACTCATAAAAGAGATAGAAGAAACTAATTCCAGTGGTAAAAATTTTGTAAATTTTTTGGATAACAGAAGCAATGAGGCCAAAAAAAAAAAGAGGAACGAACGAACTATATAAGTGCAAGAAACGAAAACTTATTATAGAATATGAATTGAAACTTTTTTTTTCGCATAACTCCATTAGTTCCAGCTGTATTATCGAGAAGGCTGAATGAGTTACCGGTGATTTAAGGCGGATGCTCTATATATCAATTATCAGTGAAATCTTCCTTCGTACCATATTTCACAATACTCCAGTATTTCATTTGCATTCCTTCATCACTGTTTAGTATCAAAACTGATTATTTGTTTTCAGTTTAGTCCTATTATTGCTACCATCCTTTTCTCTCGCCCTAAAGTTTGGATTATGTTAAGTTCATTTAGTGCATGGAGTCCAAAATTTCTTGAGTTTTACAAAAATCAAAGAAGCTGCTATACTTTTTTCAGAAAGGTATTTATCCCTAACGTCAGAGTTAAACAGGAAATTAATGAATACTGTATAACTGCAAAAATTTCGAACTCTTCATTCTCTGATACAATACTTGTGAAATGCTCCTTAATGCCTCACATTGGACTATACAGCTTATCTCCCAGTGACTAAGTTTGACCACTTCGTCTTGGAGTTTTCAAAGAACCCATTGTTTGAGTATAACATTTTCTTCTGCTCACAAAACACTTTACTTTCCTAAATCGTACAAAATTCCATCCCACGAAGTGTTACAAGCATCATTCAATCATTTCATATTCCAGCTATGAATGAATGATAGATGGCATACCAAAGCATTCATTTCTTTACAGAAGACATAGCATTCACTGCAACAAATACAAGCAAGCAAAAGAAAAAAAAACAAAACCACAGACTTAACGACTATAAATGCCTAAATACTTATTATGTAGGCTGCGGTTCTTTTTAATTATTTACATCATTTTGCTTAAACATCAAGCTGCAACTTTATTAAAGTCAGCTTTATCGAAATTATCCATCTTTCCACATCTAAGTACTTTAGGAAAATTCAGCACTTCAAATGCGTGTTAAAATTTGAACAAATGGATTGAAAAAAAATCATTGGAAATAACAGACAATGGGGTACTGAAAATTGCTATTTAAATAACACCTATTATTAAAAAAAGGAAAATGGAGTTGACTATCAACTAGTTGTAGGTGGATAACGTAAGAACATATACAACAAAATACTGTCTAATCCCACTACTTTTTTTTTTTTTTGCTCCTAAAAATATGTTGTCAGCATCCAAGATAATCCAGAATGAGAACTTCTGATTTTACAAAATAATGAACAAAGCAATCTTACAGATGATTAAAAAGATAATATTGCGATCGATAAATAAGCAATATTGATTACATATAATATACACCATTTACGAGCGAGAAATTCTGAAACTACTCAAAATTTGCAATTTAAATTCCTGAAAGAAGCATCTGAGAAATCACTTAATTATAGCATCGATTCCCCTCGCCATTTTCGTATTTTTTTTGAGAAAACAAACATAATTTTAAGCACAAATTAAAATCACCTCTTCGAAGCAGCAAATGCAGCAATCGCTAAACCACCAATGACAGCAATTCCTCCGCCCAATATTGCCATACCAATAATTCCATCTGAACGAGTCTTAGATTAAAATTGAAAACCAACAGAAACAATATTTCATCAAGCTATAAAATGAACCTGTATTCCAAAAGAAAAAACTACATACCCTTTTTCATTCTCTGTTTAATCACATCCTTCAGATCTAATGCTTGACGATTATTCGACTCCGCACTGAGTAAAATATCAACATATGCAAGAGCTCGATCGTACTCCTAAAACTTTAGTTTTTTTACAATGAAATTAATAACTTTGAAAAAGTTTCTATGGTAGTAAGGTTTACCTTTAAGCGAGTATGTGCTATTGCAAGATAATACACATAATCACGTTTTGATATATCCTCAACTTCTTGCCGCAACAAATCTAAAACATATAAAAACCTAAGAAGAACACATTACTATTTTCGGCAAGTAAAAAAAAATCGCCGTAACCGACTGCGTGGTTCTGAAAACACAGTTAGTCGAAATACATCGTCAGATTTATTTGAGCATGGCAACAATAATTTTCCCGTCATTAATGCACATTTATAGTAATAACTGATATGAAAGTGTGGTTTCATGATTTGCATAACCTACTACATTCTATACTCGAACTCTAACATATAATAACATTCTGTACTCGAACTCTAACATACAGTAACATATGAACTTTAACATATAGAACATGTAGTATATTGTCATGAAAATGTATTTTAATTTACTTGCTGCCAGTGCATTATGATATAGTGATCAGATCAGTCAGATTTTTTTGCGAAAAGGAATAAAAGAAAAATGATGAGACGGAGCATAATATCAATGATTCAATAACCTTCCAATAGCTTGATTCCTCTAAGCACATTACGGTTATTCGACTTGATTAGGCCATGGGCATAAGAATACACTGCGATTGCACTTGGACTACCACGTGCAACTTGTTCATTATAGGTTCTTTCCAAGTTCTGCAACAAAAACATCCTATAGTCAATGAACGTTCCTGTTTTCTATTATTTTCAAACAGATTTCAACATGATAGTTCTTCGTTTAACATGCTTTAATTAAAACGGCATTATAAGATAAGCAGTACATTCTCTATCATTTAAATCTTCTCAAAGCCTCTAAACAACAGTACTAAGATTAATAAATGGTTCGCAATAAATGTATGGAAGAGATCATGGTTAAGCCACCTGATTATAACAAGAAACAAAACGGTTACTTTAGCAACCGAGCACAAAACAATCTGTTATTATTACAGCACAATTAAGTACCAATTACAATCATTATCACCAATGCCAATTCCGATATTGTGAACATTTAACGAGAATAGAATTAAATTAGATTAATTAAAATAACATAAATTATAAGGGGCCAAATTAATGAAATTATAGTAATAAAATATTAAAAATTCGATTAGGTCCAGAATGATTTAAAATTGTAACAATGTAAATGTATACTTATTTGATAGAAGAAGTGATACTTAATAAATGTAAAATAATATAAATTTGTGAGTGTCATTACTAGAGATGGAATTGTAAAAATAATAAATATGCTGTAAAGATATTTTCATTCCATGAAAGAATGGTACTTAAATTTTGAATTTTATATACTATAAAAATAAGACAATCAACATACGGCTAAAACACCTGGATCGATTTGTTCGTCCACAATTACACTAGAATCCATTCCTGAAGATAATCAATAATCCGTCCTTGGATTAATTAATTCACCGAACAGACGCAACTCAAAACGACCATTGCCACGTCCCGAACCATAGCAATCGTCATCACCACAACTCAGCGTTCCACGATGCATGGCCGCAAACAGTTGGTCAAGATGCAATCATTGTCGTCTCACTTGTACTTCTATTTGACAATATTAATTACACGTTCATTTTTTAATTCTCAATTAATTTAGGTTTTTTAATTCAAATTCCTACTCATACTATCATTTAAAAGGATAGTAACATAAATATTATTACTACAACTGTTACTATTGTTGTCACTGTTACCTGTTATCAGTTACAGTATGGAACATCATTTTTTTTTTGATTTTAAATTAATTTAATCTCCTGAAAATTTAATATGATTAAACTAATTTATATTGTTTGCATTTCAGTTTTATTCATTCATGTTTTCTTTTTTAATAAATCATGTAATCACATTTTCTAATTTACTTTATTTCAATAATGATAAGTAATGATAAGTAAGTGTTAATAGTTAAGGTACTTTAATACAAATTATTGGAAATATTTTACACAGTCATCAAATTCCATACATGAAATGATCGATGATCTATAATATATAATCAAAATGAGATGATAATGAGATAATTGAAATTATTGTTCTGTAATAACTTATCAATGTTTTTATCAACTTTATCATTGCTTAGTTTTAAATTTTATATTCTTTAATAAATAATTGAAAATGATAAAAGTATTATTATTCACTGAAAAATAATACTGCTATTAATGAAATAAAAAAAGAAGTGACTTTTTTTTTATTTAGAGTAATTTTTTGTTAAACTTTAAAAGAAGTTATATATTTTCATTTTTTTTTCTTACAGTTAGGAAATCTAAAAGAAGTACTGATATTATCAGAGGAAAATTGGATCAAATTAGAACAACATCAAGGGAAAAAAAATAAGAGAATTATCAGCAACTGATAAGTGTTCCATATATTACCAAATTATTGATCACATTATCAGTGCGTTTATTGATCACATTATCAGTGCTTTTATTGATCACATTATCAATGCATTATTAATGCAGCATAAAATTCACAGATATATATTTTAATCAAGAAAATAAGCAAACAGAAATAACGAATGCAATTTATTTTGGAAAATTTCAAATGAAATATTTGATTGATCTCATAAATGGCATCAAATTTATATTTAATGATTGTTTTTTTCTTTATCTCCTCTTTTTTATTTGGAATTTTCATTTGAAATTTTAAAATTTTATTTGAAATTTTACGAAATTTTCACTTCATATACTTTTATCAAATTTATTCATTCAATATTAAATCATATTAGAACGATAACAGATATTTTTGAGCCCATTTCTCTAAATTTTTTTTCATTAAAGTTTTCTTTCATTTTTGATTTTTTTTTTCAAAAGGGTTACGTTGTTAATATGTTTATTTATGTTAAAATTAAATGAAAAGGAATAAAATTGACAGAAAGTTGCCTGCCGCCTGACATTTTGGCTAATTTGTTCAAAGCTGCTATGCAAATGTTAATAGAGATGTTTCATTTGATCATTTTTTTTCTTTTTTTTTTTTGGTGACGTCAAGGACTGGAATATAAATTTGAACAATTATTAAATCGATATAACAGTTTCATGATTGATGCTATCGAAATGATCAAATGAAGCATTTTTATTAGATCTAACAGTTGACAATATTTGTGTGTCATCGAAAATGATTTAGATGGAAGAAATCAATTTACGAGCCTTCTATCAATTTTACTACTTTTTGTTCAATATTAATTTGCATAAACAAATTTGCAACTTAAAATTTCATCTTTAAAGTACTAACATTTTATTGCAGATTAAATTCCTCGGTTCAAATACTACCATTTCCTATTTTTCGAATAATTTCACTGAACAATTTTATCAAACATTGAACAATTTAAATTTGATAAATCAAACCAGCTTTTATTTGACGAAAAGAATACAAAAGGTCATTGATAAAATGATCAAAGTTCACCGATAAAATAATCAACTGCAAATGGAAGACATCACTAAATCCAATCCTGATGTTTCCTTTGATATGAAGTTTTCGGTAATGTAATAACTTATAACAATTTAGTAAAATAATGATTTAAATCAATTCAACATAAAGATTTCTTTCAAATTTCAAATTTTAAATAACTGATGGTCAAGAGAATGAATGCTTGTAAGTTAATGGTCATTACGATGTTCATTTCAATTTAAATGTACCTGGAAGTTTACTAGACAAAAACAATACTTACTCCATATAAATTCAAATTCCACCTGTCCTCTATTTACTAGGTTAGACTTTTACAGTGATATTAATTAATTAGTAATTTAGATAAGCATGCATGTTTTAGTTAAAAAAATCATTTCAATGATACCAATTTGAACATATTACATTTCGATTTGAAACGTTAATTTTCATGATCATTTGCTTTGTAATCATTAATAGTGTGATATTTTCGAATGAAAAGAGTACGGTATAAGTAAGAATTAGTAGATCTCAAATTATATCCATATGTTATTGAGAAATTATCCGGATATAAGATTATTGTTTTCAAAAAAAAAAAAAAGAATAATGCCAGTTTTAAAATAAAACCAAATTAAATTTCAATAATTACTTATACACCGGAAGGAAAACTTATGGTAATATTTCCGGAAAATGGGAAATGATATGCTAAATTTTTTAATATTGGTATTGGTAAATGGAGTTTTCCCATCAATATCATTATCAATCTGTCATTATGACAATCTATCTGTAATATCCTTTTCTTTTATCATATCATATCAATCTTCAGGATAGTGAAAAAAAAAATGCATGCCATTCATTTAATGTCATAATTTAATTACGAGCAATTTTATTTAAAAAAAAAAAAAAAAAAAAA